GATATTTTCTCACTAAATTATTTATTGTAAAATATGATTTTAGTAAACAGTAAATATAATACATAACTAAATGAAATATTTAAGTGCATGAAATATATAAAAGTTTTTTTAACATAGCAATTCTTTTAATATATGCTCCTATTTCAAGAATCACGATAACTAAATACATCACAATGTATCAGGAATTCAAAATAATTCAAAAGTTGTTGAATGAAAATTATTGATTCATTATTGATCATATTTACCCTATTAATAAATTATATATATGTAAATCCTTTTTATTCAAGTATTATTACGTCAACGACGTTAAACAAGAATCCGGTATGGTCTAGTGGCTAGGATACCTGGCTTTCACCCAGGAGGCTCGGGTTCGATTCCCGGTACCGGAATTTTCTTTTTTCCATCGTAAAACATACTTTTTTTTGTGTACGTTCATTTTATAATATTTATTTAGTAACAATTTGTTATATTTTGTATCACATACATGTTTAGTTTAATCTGCTAATTTGTAGAGACGACTTGTTTCATCACATGTACATGCAATACATGCGAATTGATTCATCTCGTCATATTAAAAACACGTGAATAATTCGTTTGAAAAATACTATTTTATAAGACAGATTTTTATGAAATAGATGAGAAATTAACAAGAGTTCCATTATTATCGACAAGAATGTAATACTTAGAAGTGTTGTGCATAAGAATTTAACGTATTTTTAAACAAATAGTGTAATGTAACATAAAACGAACATTTTTTACAAATTTTTGAGTTTCTTTTTATTGGAATATTTTTTTTATAGATAACGAATGAAACGATGCAAAATGAAAATTTCAGTATCTTTATATTTTATACTTTTGACATTACCGTTCGAAGAAATTACATCTACATGATATCATGATTTCCTTGATTCAAGAGGAATGATTGAAAAACAATGAAAGAATAGTTTTTTTTATCATTCTTTAATTGTGTCATTGCATCGCAGACATACGCTGGCATTTTTTAAGATGCGATTAAAGGATACTAAAAGACTTTTCGTACCTCGAAAATATGCGGTGACGCTACCATGTTTGAATTATCTCAATTCACCGAGATTATTAATCAAGTTATCGAATGTCTCGGTAACTAGTAATCATCGTAATAATCTCGCACTTGCACTTGCAGTGATAGCGCAAGATACGACGAGTGAATTATCTAACAAGCACGCATAATAGCACTTTACGGCTTTTAATAGAGTTCTTGAAACGAACTATCGTGCAGTTAATAAAATGTGTTCGCATGTCTTCTCTTATCAATTATGTATTTGTTTTCATAATTCAGTTTACACAGTCGCGATAAGGAAGTGCGTATTCGTAGTGTGTACCCCGTAAAAAGAATCGCCGATTTCACGAACGCATTAACAAACACAATGGTAACGTAAAGCACTGGTTGACAAAATAGGATGTTAATTTATTGTATTACTCAATTCTGCGAATAACACTTTCTTTCACTTTATATATATGTTGCAGTATATTGATTAGCTTCAAAAAATTTCACTCTGTACACCTTAACCACGATTCGAACAATCCTGACGATTTTGCAAAGGATAATCGCATGTTCCAATGTGCGGATTGAATTCCGTTCCTGCGCCGCACGATAAAATGAAGCATCCGCTGGCATCGCAATGCTGGTATTTTGAGCAATCGCCTGGATACGGTATAACTTCTCCCTGGAATATTAATGCAACGATTAATGCAAACCTTTTCGATCGATTCATAAAGCGTTTCCGTAAACGCTGACGACGAGTTTCGCATGGCGATTCTATTAAAATAATGAATTCAGCTCAAGAGAAAATAAATGTACTGGCCCATAGGCAGCGAAAAGCCATATAACAAAAATAAAAACTGAGCAATAAAAAATTCTTAGATTAAATAGTAAATGCGCCATGGACCGTTCGATACGATTAAATGCGAAAGGATTTACAATTAAATATTGTTACAGGATAAGCCTGTCCAA